CAAGAGAAATTCAGTGCAAGTACCGTCCGTCTGCTCTCAGCTGGGTGCTGAGGCGGCGGAGGGCATGCGGCGAAGCTCTTTAGGTCACAGAGGGAAAGGAAGCTGCGTGTCCTCTGGCTGTGAATCCGGGCTGCTTTGCACCATACTGACTGGTCCTTATTTGAACTCTGACCCCTAGGACCCCAAAGAGAGGCTCGGCTGCCGGCCACAGACGGGATTTTCCGATATCAAGTCTCACGCATTCTTCCGCAGCATAGACTGGGACCTGGTAAAGCACGGGGACCCGTTTGCTGACCCCCCCTCCAGGGCGGGCTGGGATGAAGGGTGTGGCGGGGCCGCCCTCTGGGGCCCTAGGAGAGGTCCTGCCTCGGTGTCCCCACCACGTGCTGTGCTGCCCGGGGGTCCGGTCGGGGACGTCCTTCATCTGTGACCACACCGCCTGGTTGATTCTGTGTAAAATCCACTGGTGGGAGCCGGTTTCATGGTTGGTTTACCAGAACCTGCCCTTCTTGGTCCCATCTTGGGCCACGGTGAACAGTGAAGGATACAAACCCTTTCCACTTTAGCACCCTGGTTCCTGGTACTAAAGGAAGATTGAACTGAATTTGGTTCACAACAAATAAGTGGCTGCAGAGTTACTGAAATATAACCTTTAAATTGTGCTCCTGAGACGAAGGAGATTAGCTAGCTAATTAAGTGAAGATTGGACTTTAGCTCAAACTAGATCGGGAGAAAGCCCCGCTCTGGGTGCTGTCGCGTCTCCCCCTCCCCCTCCCGCTGCTGTGGAGGCCCGTGGCCAGTGCTGAGGCCCGCCGGGGGCAGGGCAGCTCTCGTCCACTCCCTCTGGTCACTGTCACTTTCCACCCACAGGACTGTCGTCTGCGCATTTGTGGGGTCGCGGTGAGGAGCGCGCTCAGACCACGCGCCCACCCCGCCCACACCCAGCCCTGTCCAGGCCGCGGCTGGGTGATTTCAAAACACAATCCAGCGTCCTCTCCCTTGGAGTTATTAGACACAAATTCTTAGAACAATATTCAGAGCACAGGTACTTTTTAATTAAGAAAAAGACTTTGGGGGCACCTGGCTGGCTCAGTCAGTGGAGCGTGTGACTCTTGATGTCAGAGTCGTGTGTTCAAGCCCCACGTTGGGTGTAGAGCTTACTCAAAAAAACGGAAGAAAAGAGAAACTGACTTTGATTGGTCCACTAGCACAAGGGAGGGCAAATTAGATTTGGGCTGGTTTCTGACCATTATCCGTACAGCTCGGGACACCTGGCCTGGAGGAAAGTGCCACCGCCAGGCGTCCACAACCCCTGGGCCACGCTGAGCCTCCGTGGCCCACGTATTGACGGGCCGGGCCCATGGCAGGGCCTTGGGGGTTCCGCACAGCACAGCCCCCAGCACTCGCTAGGCAGGTGTCATCCCACTGAGCTGGAAAAGGCCTTCGTAGATACCTCGGCCACTGTCGGCGGGGCTCCAGCCAGATGCCGGTGATGCATGCAGGGAGCAGGGGCCAGGGGCCCTGCAGACCGCCCAGCTCCGGGCTGGGCAGAGCAAACAGCAGGGAGCCTCGGGAAGGAACCAGACTTCTCACCAGGGCCCCACTCGTTGCAGTAATCCTGGAGAAGCCCATCCGGATCCCCCGATTCCCGAGGGTGGCATCTGGCCATCTCTGGTCAGTGCATCCTGGCCGGAAGCACTCAAGTGCAGCCTGCGTTTGCCGGGATCAGAAGGCTAAGGGTTGATGGCGTGCGTGTGAAACGATGAGGGTGCTCTTCCACGAGCAGTGTCCACATTTATAAGCCACGTCCAGACCCCAATCGGTCGAGGAAGGTGCAGGTGGTCCCCTAGGGGACACGGGGGCCTGCGGGCCCACCCTTGGCTCTGCGGAGTGCATGACCACCCGCTCGGCCGCCATTGCGGACACGCCTGAGCGGAAAGACGCGTATTGCGTGAGGCGGCCCGCGGGGTCCGAGCACAGTGCCCCGCCGTACTTGAGGGTATGCTGTTTTCGGTGGGAGGGATGTGCAGAGAGTGGAGGGAAAGAAGCATTTTGATAAAATGGGTGCTGGGGTCGCTCTGCCCTCACAGGGCGGCTCCTGGAATTCCCTTGCTACCCCCACGGCCGGGAGAGCAGGGTCCAGCACAGTCTCTGCTTCGCACACATCCGGTGGGGGGCTCATCACCCGGAGCTGGGGAAACAGGGACTAGCGGACAGGAGAAGCCCCGCTCGGAGATGCTGTCACCCTGGACCCCACTCTGCCTCTCCCACCCAGTCCTCAGACACTCAGCCTCCAGGTCTGGGCCTCTGCCCGCCCCCAGGACGGGACTGCTCCCTGCCTAGCCTTGCCAGGGGCGGCCTCCTCTGTCCAGGGACCTCCTGCTTCCTCTCAAGCTTCTCGGAGCCCCCGAGGCCCCCAGCACCCTCTGCGGGGCAGCCCACCGCCCTTGCCTCCTCCAGGCCCTCAGAACCGCAGCCTGCCTGGCCGCCACGCATGCCCCTTCCAGCCTCCTCTCTGCTCACACCGGCTCTGCCGAGCGGCGGCCTGCCTCTGGGCGGCATCCAGGTGGCACTGTTCTTGCTCACTGCTTTTGGCTGAGGAAAGGAGGTGACGCTCTTGAGACGCTCGTGAGACAGTCTCGGAGGGAGGCTGAGCAGCCTCACGCCCTCAGACCAGAGGATGGGGCCCCGGGATGGGGGGTGGGCGTGGAGGACCCCGGGAGAGCTTCTTGCTTCAGACCCAGCTCCACTTGCTTCTTGGGTCTGCTGCGACTTGCTATTTAAATCTTAAAGCAGCCAAGACCTAAGGTGGGGAAATAGCTTAAGAAATACCCCCCCCCTTTTTATCAGAAAAGATTGCATACAAAAGAATATGGGTAATTGTGTATAAAAGGTGAGAAGCAACAAGGACGGGGCCTTGGTCCCCACGCACACGGGTGACCGCTCTGCCTGCAGGGACAGCCCGTCCTCTCTGCCACATGCCCTCTCCTGCCCGGGGACCGGATGCCGTGCCAGCCACATCCCTGTGTGTGTCGGGCAGCCGGCGGGAAGGACTCGTCCATGTCTGGGACACCCCCAGGTCCTCCACTTGCCGAAGTGGGGCCCGAGCCGCTCATGTTCCACGCCCGCTCTGCTTCTGTTGTAACTGGAACGGCTCGTCACGTCGGCCTTGGACAGTTCCACGGCCTGCGCGGGGACGTGTGCAGCCCCACGCAGGCAGGCGTGTCCAGGCTCAGCCCTACCAAGGGCCCAGCAGGCCTGGGCAGCGTGCTGCGTGCTTCCTCTCCCCGGCCTCACGCGTGGTTACACGGCACGGAGGGGACCCAACACGATGGCCCCACAGGGCAGGCCCGTGTCTCTTGCTCACGGCTCAGTGTTCTCGGGCACAGCGCACACCCGCTGGGGGCGGGGGGAGGCTTGCGTGTGTCACGGAGGGACTGGGCAAGCAGGCCCTCACTGTCCTCGCCGCTGAGGGGCCCCTGGCCCGGGCACTCCGCCCTCTGGCATGAGCGTGTCTCAGCCCCATAAAGGGTGAGTTGGAAGTCAGAGTCTGGATCCTGAGAAGCCCTGTTTCCTGCCTGACGAGCATCCCTTGTGATTAGAAACAGAGGATCAGTTACGGCTTTTCGGGGAGGAAGGTCCCGGTGGGACAAGGGCTCACCAAGCGGCGGCGTGGGCAGCGGCGTCCCTGCCGAGTCCGAGCTCCTTTACGACCAGGGTTCCAAGTTGTAAGAAAGGAAACGCTCCTGGGACGCCTGGGTGGCTCAGTCGTTAAGCGTCTGCCTTCGGCTCAGGTCATGATCCCAGGGTCCTGGGATCAAGCCCCGCATCGGGCTCCCTGCTCGGCGGGGAGCCTGCTTCTCCCTCTCCCACTCCCCTTGCTTGTGTTGCTGCTTTCACTCTCTCTCTCTCTGTCAAATAAATAAATAAAATCTTTAAAAAAAAAAAAAAGAAAGGAAACGCTCCCGAGACCAGCCTGGTTCGGTTTCAGGGGCCGGGCTGTGGGGGTGCAGATGCCCAGCCGGCTCTGTCCCGGGTACAGGGCCCATGTGGCCCATGCTGCCAGCATTTCTAAACTCAGGGTTTTTCTGGCTTCAGATGCTTTCTCCTAGATTTGTGTTTAAGGGAAAAGAAAGCTAGTCTTCAAATACGGGACATACTTAAACACGGAGTGTCTTCTATTCCGTCCTGTGGTTTGAGTCCCTGCAAAGACCCAATCTGACTTCTTGCCTTGTTCTTCCCAGTTGGAGAAGAAGCAGGCCCTTCCGCCATTCCAGCCCCAGATAACCGACGAGTACGGTCTGGACAACTTCGACACCCAGTTCACCAGCGAGCCCGTGCAGCTGACCCCAGATGATGAGTGAGGCCTGGGTGGGGGGCGGGGGGCGGGGGGGCGGCCAGGAGGGTCGGATCACCCCGTCAGCCGTCTGCCCTGTCCGGGTCGGCCGCGGGCTTGGGGGCAGGGGCTGACACCAGACCCTGCGCTCTGCCTGTGCACACAGGGACGTCATAAAGAGGATCGACCAGTCCGAGTTTGAAGGTTTCGAGTACATCAACCCGTTACTGCTCTCCACCGAGGAGTCCGTGTGAGGCCGTCTTCTCTGTCATGGACACGTCTGTGAATGACCCCTTCGCTCTATCCTTAACCACAGCGCATGCATGCCAGGCTGGACGCAAGGCTCCAAGCGCGGCCAGGAGGGACACTTGCCGCGGAGACCGTGGACGGGGCGTCCAGCCGGCCCTTCTCGGAGCGGAACAGTCTGGCGTCTGGGCCCGCGCGGCCGGCTTCGTGCTGGAGGAGTTTGCTTCTTGTGCCTGCGCCGCGGAGGACCCGCGGTGACTGTGTCCGAGGGAGAAACTGCCCCACGATTTCGAAGGTGCACACTTTCCACAGAAACAGAACTGACCTGCTCCGCCAGGAGACTTAGCCTATAATGTCCTGAGGAATAAAATGTGCCCATGATGTTGAAGCCTCCCTGGTGCCTTTTTTCTGCGAGCGGCACCTGCCCAGAGTCGCGGGCGACACCCACACGGGAGGCCCCAGAGCGGGCGGGGTCTGTGCCAAGTGGTGGCTGGGGACTGGGGACGGGAGTCCGAGTGCCCGCAGGGACGCACTGCGATGAAGAATTTACAAATTTGGAACGTTTTCTAAATCCCGGTAGGTTTCTGTTAATATTTAACACGTGTGTCACACCCGTGCGTCGCCATGGTCCAGCGTGGAGGCCACACGGCATCCAGACGGATCCTGCTGCTGACAGAAGCACCCGGAGACCAAAAAAGGTAAGGAAGTTGAAAACAAAATCTGCACAAAATATTTCTGCAAACACTAAGCTCCGTGATATCCTGTATTAAATCTTCAAAAAAATATTTTTACCGGTAATAAGTATGCTCAGAATTAGAAAATTTAAAAACATCTGCGTGTAGGTGCCCCTAGCCTTACATAATAAATCTAGAAGACCCACGAACATTCCACCCCGGTTGCAGAGTAGCTTTTCTACAACACAGAGACTTGTCTCAACCAGTGATGCAATTGCAACCGGGAAGACTTGCCTCCAAAGACAGAAATTAGGGACCCCAGAGCAGATCCCGAGGGCCAACTTCTGGGTCTCACGGGGGTCACAGCCTGGAGCTGACATCCATAGCACGGCGTCCGCCCGAGGGCTAGGCGGTCAGTCGGGACTGGTGAGCGGAGCCCTGGGACGGGCTGATGTCACACGGGGAGGGGGAGAGCCCCGTGTGCCCAGGAGGGGATAACAAACGGCTGCTGAGAGCCCCCTTGGGCACAATGACAGCGTCTGTTCCAACAGGACGGGGACCCTGGATTTGTTGAGACTGAAAGCATTGATTTCTTGCTGCCAAACAGCGGCTCGGGTTCCAGCTGGGCGGGTCCTGTGCAGACGTGTGCACATGGCCGGGCTGGTGCCTCGGGGACACGTAGAGCCGTCTGCTTTATAAATTCAAGAAGGGGAAGGTAGCACTGCAGTGGGGGTGGGAAGCAGCAGCCCCAACATTGGCGAGCGGCATGGGTTGTCTGGATGGCCTGTGGATGGAGACACCGTGGCCATGGCCGGCGCAGTCTGTGGTTGGCGCGGTGAGCGGGCAGCGCCCGTCCCCAGCCATCTTCCTCCCACAGCTGGCGTTTGCGGGCCAAGGCCGGGCAGGCTTCTCGCATCCACTAAAGAAAGACTTAGAGGAACACGCATGCTATTATTTCTGATAAAACTAGGTGTTTCCAGAAAGCAGCAGTTTTGGAAGGTGTTTTTATTTTATTATTTTTTTAAGATTTTATTTATTAGAGAGCGAGCACACAAGCAGGGGGAGCAGGAGGGAGAAGCAGGCTTCCCGTGGAGCAGGGAGCCCGATGCAGGGCTCCATCCCAGGACCCTGGGATCATGACCTGAGCGGAAGGCAGTCGCTTAACCACTGAGCCACCCAGGCGCCCTGGAAAGCGTTTTCTAAAAAATAGACTTTTTATAGAGCAGTTTTAGGTTCATATCAAAATTGCAGGGCATCTGCAGAGATTTCCCACGTGCCCCTGCCCCCATGTACCGCCACCCCCCCCTCCCTTCCCAGGGGCCACTTGTGACCGCGGACAAACCGCACAAACATGTCATCGTCCCCAGGGTGCTGGGTGCACATCTTGGGGGCGCAGCGCACAGTTTGGACAAAATGATGACATGTACCCACCAGTGCAGATTGGTGCACACGCCCGAAGTCCCGTGTGCCCGTCCGTGGTGCCCACAGGTCTCTCGACTGTCTCTGTAGTTTTGCCTTTTCCAGAAGCCCCTACAGGGGGTCACGCAGCATGCGGTCTGCAGACTGGCATCTTTCCCTTGGTCACGTGCAGTTAGGTTCCTCCACGGTCTTCATGGCTCGTGACCCGCTCCCTGCCACCACTGCTCTGCGGCCACGGTGGGTGCCACAAAAGCCCAGCTCTTCCAGAATCTGTGGGCCATCAGCACTGGAAGGAGAGCTACCTACAGATGCTCTTGTGCCCCATTTTCCACGGGCCCCGGAAGCCCAACACCTGGCTGATGCGGAATGTTCTGGCACACTGGCCTGCCCACTGCGATGACGCCTGGCCCGGTCCCGCCCCTTAAGTCCCCGCCCGTCCGTGGGTGAGGTGTCTTCCGCCCGGGGTGGCCGGCACTGCATAATGAGCACTTCATCTGGGGAATTAAAACACGGTGTGAGCGGGGTCTGCGGAGGCAGGAAAACGTGCAGCCCCCGCCTGTCCGCAGATGCAGCCAGTTCTGCTCACGAGTCTCAGCTCATGCACCTGGGCCTGGTCCCTCTGCTGAGCGGCTCTGTCCATTCCGGACGGCAGGAGAGCGCTCTGCTTAGCGTCAGCCAAAAAGGGAGAGGAGCCCGGGTTTCGGTCCCGATACAAACACACCACACCAGGAGTCCACACTGACATTTTAACACGTGGCTTCCAGGGCGGAGAGGACACGGTTCCGGCAGGGGGAGGCTGGGCCTCCGCACTGGCTAGGCTCACCACACCACGTCTTCCGTGCTTTCCGCCAGGCACTGAGCAAGGTGGCCATCGATGTCCAGCGGGGCCAGACTGCAAGAGGGAGGAGATGGTCACCCAGGCACGCGAACGCTGGCCACACGCCACCTGGCCAGGGCACCCGCCACGCACCTTCACGGCCTTCCCTGGTGTGACCACCTCACCAAAGGTCAGCCAGAGAGAACCCCGCAACAGTCTCCATAGCTGGTCGGAAACGGGGAAGGTCCAGAGAGGCCACACGAGCCAGAACAGGCCTTCCCAAATCCTGTTCCCCGGGGCTGTTTCTCTGGGCCAGGCGCTCAGTGCACCTGGACACACGTTCTCAAGGCTCACCCAGGCACCTGCGTCTGGGGGGAGGGGGGCGCCATGTGTCTGAACGAGCCTCCCAGGGATTCTGGAACCCACTCGACTTGAGAACCTCACGGCTCCCAGGGAACTGCTTGTCCTGGAGCCTGAAAGCCCGCCTGGCGGTGCACAGGACAGGTGAGAAGCTCCTCTGCAGGGCCTCAAGGTCGAGGGCGGCCCTTCCTTGCTCCCCGGCCTGCCCACGGCTGGGCCTCTGTCAGAGGTCCGTCAGAGGGTCACGTCCTCTTACGAAAACCGCCCCACTTGGCCCCCCCAAAAGGAAAAGCACAAAGGCTGGGACCCCAGGAGCACGATCACTGTCTGTCCAGAGACGCAGGGAAATGAAGTGGGTGGAAGGTGCGTGTGCAGCTCAGGTCTGAGATCGTGTTTTCTTGACGTGGACAGACCAAGCCCCCTTAGGGAGGGGGTTCAGTGAACCTGGGCTGCCAACCTACAGCTCTGGGGGCTCCGAGGCCTATGGTTGGCCTCTCGGTGTCCAGTGGGGTGTGGGGAGGGGTCTGGATTCGTGGCACAGAGCACTTCCCATCCCTGATCTCATCTGACCCCATCAAGGAGGGGGGGCCAGGCAGGACCGTCTCCGATGTGCTTGAGAGCTGTGGGCGGGCAGCTTCTGGCCGTGCCCCCGAGAGTGGCAGAGCTGGGGTGCTCAGCAGGGCTGCTGGGGGACACACTCCCACAACGCGGCCGAGCCCACCGGCTGCAAGCGGCAGTGTTCCTGTGTCCACCCATCGGCTGGCCTGCCCTCAGCTCCTCGGCCTCCTGCTATTGGCCAAGGCCTGTCCAGACCCCCTCCTGCAACCCTTACGCTCCAGACGGGCCCAGCCTCCCTGTACCTCCCTGGGCCTGGCAGCACGAGTGACAACCCCCTTCCTGTTGGGACTTAAATATCCCCCCCAGCCTGTCCCAGGCCGGCACGTGTCACGGTGGCCGGAGCCCCACCTGCACTTACAGAGCGGAGCTCAGCACACCGGTTTTGCCCCCGCGGCCTTCCCCAGTGGGGCACCCCTGGGCCTGTTAGCAGCTGACAGAGCGGACACCCCCTTCATCACCATGGCTCCCGCTGGACCCTCTGCGCCATGGCCTGAGGCGGTTTGCCCACAGGGCTTCTCCCTAGCCCCAGGGACCTCCCAAGATGTGACCCTTCCTCTGTCCGATCTAGAGCCATCCGGCTCAGCTGGCCAAGTTCACAGGCCAGAGTAGAAAGGCCCGTCCCTGGAGCAACACTGCACGACGGCGGGGAGCACAGCACCGCCTCTCGCCCTGCTGCTCTGGGCGCCTGTGCCCCTCCAGTGGCCGCCAGCTACCTTCTCAGACTTTGTAGGGCTGGCCAGTGGGCTCCCCAGTCCCTAGGGCCCCTGCCTGCTCTCTCCAAGGCTGCCAGGAGATCCTAAGGTCTGGACCGGGCCACCTTGTCTGGGGTTTCCAGGGGGTATCCCTTGGGGGGGCACCCTCTGGGACCCTTCAGACCCCCCCCGCCCCGAGTAAGCGAACTTGGTCTCAGCAGCCCTGTCCCGCACGCAGTTTCTGCAGCAGCTTGCCCAAGACGGGCCTGCCTTCCGTCACCTCGAAGCCCATGTGTGGCCGTTGGCGTGGCTGCAGGAGAGGAGACTCGGCCCAAGAGCCTCCAGGCGTCTGCCTCAGACACAGCAACCCGCAGGGGCCCCGCACTGGCACAGGGCCAGCAAGCCAGGTGCCCCTCGCACACGCGGGACACGACTCAGCTTCTGGCTTCCCCATCCCCACGTCAAGTGGCCCATGGGAGCCCGTCCTCCCAACCGCCCCCCGAGAGCCCACAGAACACGCAAACCTAGCAGCAAGCGGATGGGGTTTCACACCCCGTTTGTCGAATCCACCACGTAACCATCCGTCGCATCACAGAATAAAGCCGTCCTGAGTGACCTGGAAACGCTAAGGCTTTGAGAAGAACGGTGCGCTCATCCCACAGCACCCTGTCCCCAAAGCACACCCATCACCAGAAGCCCTCGGGTCACCAGTCACCCCCGTGGCCTGTCAGAAGGGCAGAGCGCAGCCTCGGTCTCTGGGTCAAAAATTTCCCAAGTGGGGCGCCCAGCTGGCTCAGTCAGCAGAGCATGTGACCCTTGACCTCGGGGGTCAGGAGTTCAAGCCCCACGCTGGCTGTAGAGTTTACTTAAAAATATTTTTTTAAATAAAAGATATTATATATTAAAACAATTTTTCCCAAGAATCACTAAAAGCTGACAGTTTTCTAGAGAAAGTCACAAGACAGTTGGACAGTTTCGTTACTGCGTACACCTGCCACACCAGACCCTCCCTCCCATGGCCCAGGTTGTCTCCCTGCCCCAGGGTCCTGAGCATCCCAAGGGCCCGCGCCTTTGTTTGCAGCGACCCATGTGTCCCCAGTCACAGGGCAGACCTGAGGGGCGTGTCCTGGCCCGAGGACCCTCTCCTTTGCAGTCACATGGAAGAACGCGCTACGAGCATTTCAGACACGCTGAGGCCTGGACCCCACTGCGCTGACACCTACTTTGGGAAAAATGAGACACTCTGCCAAGCCTTAATTTAACTGCTTAAGAAACTCAAATCTGCAGTTTTTCTCTCCCTGCTGTCTCTGTCATCGGGAATCTTTTCCTTTAGACTGTGTAGAAACGCCAGCATCCCAAAGATGAGCCCCCTCCGGAAGAGGAGGAAAGGTGGGGCACCCTGACAGCTTCTGCCAAGAAAACACATTTCCCGCCAGGGTCTGCAGTGGCGTCCTCTGCCCCTGGGCTTCGTGGACCAGGCGTGAGTCGGGAAGACCACAGTTTTTAAAGAGTAATCACCGCATTCTCAGAACTGGCGAGCCGGTCGGTATTTGCAACCCACAACCATCCCAAAACACAACTACAGGCAAGAGGCATTGCAGTGAGATGCTGGGTCTGCGAACATTCTGCAAATTCCCCGGTGCTCCTGTGGGCCGCTGAGCCACCTCCGCCAGGCCCGGCTTGTGGCTCCGCCTGCCGGGGCTTCACCCACATGCACCGTCCCTGTCCCCGTCCCCGTGTGGGACAGCCACCACCTCACCCAAACCAGGCCGCTCTTGCCTCCCCAGCCCTGGGCTGTGCGGGCACTTCAAGGAGATAAATGTGGGGGTACTGGGCTCACCCCAGCACCGGGCTTTCAAAGCCTTGTTCCCGTAACAACGGTGCAGACTGGAGGAGCCCAGACAGTTGACCACCGACCGACAGGATCACGACGGGATCAAAAGATCTTCGTGGGCAGGCTCTGTGTGCTCATCCGAACCAGGGGCTTGAGGGGGTTTGGTCTGCCATCAGCTCCATCGCCCTCACTGTCCAGGATGGTGTTTGCTTCTGGAGGACCAGGGATGCGGCCCGGGACTTGCACACCATGTCTCAGCCACAGGAAATCTGGAGCGGCCCACTTACTGAAACCTGCCGTCCATTCACTGCACCTGAGCCCTATGACCCCCACACCTGTGTCCTTAGCTGTGGGACGTGGCCCACAAGCTGCGCAGTTCAGGTTTAACATCTCAGCAAAACTGAATTCCATTCCCCTTACTTAAAAAAAGATATAAAGAGGGCACCTGGGTGGCTCAGTCAGTTAAGCGTCTGACTCTTGGTTTCGGCTCAGGTCTGATCTCGGGGTCGTAGGATGGAGCCCTGCGCCAGGCTCCATGCTCAGCAGGGAGACTGCTTGGTCCCTCTCCCTCTGCCCCTACCCCCCATCTGCACTCCCTGTCTCTGTAAAATAAATAATTACATCTTTTTTTAAAAAAGGAATATAAAAATATACAATGAGTTCTTAAAGGAAAACAGCATCTCTAGGCACAAAAAGTCTTCTTTTTTAAAACCTACCCCTACGAAGACAGCGGTGGGATGCTTTAAACAGGAAACTGCTTGGCGACCCACAGCCTGGGGGGGGCCCTGGAGATGGCAGTCACCACTAGGTTCCCTGTGACTTAGAGGTGGGGCTCCCTGCCCTCCGGCGGCAGAGTCGGCTCCAGGGAGACTGCCGCCTGTCCACGGGGCTCAAAGGACGAGTGAGCGGTGGACCCCCAGACCATACACCTGCGCCGTCTGGCTAACGGGTTCAGTCACTGAGCCCCGCAAACTCCGCAGGCACCAACTAGCACCTGAAGAGGCCGAAGCTGAGCCCAAGCACCCCTCGGCCTTCTAAACGTGGCTGTGGCTCCCCAACAGGGCTGGGGTGAGCGGAGGGGAATGGAGGCCAGGCCCCGCGCACTCACCTGGGGGCGAAGTCGGCCTGGCACATGGGGCAGCTCCGCAGGGTCGCCTCCCACAGCTGCTCCTGGGCGCCGGGGGTCCCGCGGGGCTCAGGCGCGGGGCGTCGCTGCGGGGACCGGGCAGGGGGCCCCGAGCGCGCCCGGGCCCCAAGCAGCACCCGGTAGGAGCGCCCGGGGTCCCCGCCTCCCGTCGGGGCCGGTGGGAAGGGCGTCCAGGAAAAGGTCCGGGCTCCCACGGTGAACACCTCGGGGGGCGCGGTGCGCTCGGGACCCCGGCCGGGCTCCTGCCAAACGAGGTCGTGGGGCCGCGTCGGGCGCCTCCCCGGCCAGGGCGCCCGCCCCACTGCACACCCGGCCTCCCCGGGCGCCGCCCCACTACGCACCGGGCCGGGGAAGGCAGGCAGCGACGGCAGCTCTCCGTCGGGGCTCAGGTCCGCGCTCCCAGCTCGCAGCAGCTCCGCCCACGGCCGCGCGCACCCGCCGCTATCCCCCGGGAGGGGCCCCCCGCGGCCGCTGGGGGTGCGGGGAGAACTCAGCGGGGGACCCGGCGGGGGCGGGGAACCGAGTCGGGTTCCGGGAAACACGTGGGCGCGGGGCCCGGAGCGCCCAGGGGACACCGGCCTCCCCCCGACCCCCGGCCAGCCCCCCCACAGGCCTCCCCCCCCCACTCTCCCGGCCCCGGCCTCACCCGCCCCCCGAGGACGGCCTCCGGCGGCGCAGCCCCTGCCGCGGCCTCCGCGCCGCCTCCATCCGCCCCCAGCCGCGCGTCGGGCGGAAGTGAGCGGCCCGCCGGGGACCCCGCCCCCGACACAGACCCCGCCCCGCCCCGCCCCTCGCCGTGGACCCCGCCCCCGACACAGACCCCGCCCCGCCCCTCGCCGTGGACCCCGCCCCTCGCCGTGGACCCCGCCCCCCCGGCCCCGCGCCAAGCTCCTGGCTCAAGTGCGCTGTGGACCCGGCCGCCCCCCAGCCCCGCCGGCGCGCCCCGATCCCTCCCCTGTGCGCGCTGGAGCCCGCCCCTGGCCGCGCACCCCCACCCCACAGCCTGCTCCTGGGGCCCTGAGGCGGCCTCCCGTTCGTGACACTGTCGGAGGGGAAGGTGTCCTGACCTCCACATTGCAGGAGAGGCAGGCCACGGTTCCTTCCTGCACCAGAGGCGGGACTGAGGTGGGGGAGGCCGACCGGCCCTGAGGGGGCTGATGTCCAGCTGAGGGAGGGATGTGGGGGGACCCATCTGCTGTCTTCCGGAGGCTTGGGGTCTGCAGAGGCTTAGGAGGAGGAACTGGGCACAGAGTCAGGCTGCAGGATCCCTTCCCCCTCTGCCCCTGGAAGCTCCCCTCAGTTAAAGCCCACCTGCCCCATTCCCTGGCTCGCCACCTCCGGATGCCCCGGACAGCTCCCAGCCTCAGTTTCCAGCTGTGTGGAAGGGGATTCGGCCTGTCCTTCTTAGGACGATCGTGTTTCCCTACTAAAGGGAGGAACTTGGTTTTCGGAGTTAAGAAAGAAAAGAGAGGCAACAAAGTCCAGGTGGCCAGCCTGGCGGGGGGGGGGGGGGGGGCGGTCCTGGGCCAGGGTCCGGTGCGGCGGGGGTCCTCCAGGGCTCTGAGGGGCTTCCCTGAGACTCGGGGCCCAGGTGCTCTGGCCGGGCGACCACTCCATCCACCACTTGGTGGCAGCAGATGCCCAGGGCACTGTCGGCCACTCATGATCCTGCAGAGCCAGTGCCCGGTGGGCCCCAAGGTGGGCCCCTGGGTGACCCCCACCCTCACCAGGGCTGGAGTGTGTAGGGGGCTGGGTGGCAGAAACTCCCCTCCATAGACAAGCAGATGTCACTTGGGGTTCTGGGACTCCTTGGCTCTTCCCAACCCCAGCAGCTTTGGGCTCTGCTCTGCACCCCCTTCCTCAGGGGCTCCCACAGCCCTGTTCCAACCTCCTCACCTTGGCCCCTCTGCAAGCCACTGTCCTGCCCTCCTCCAGTCCCAGGTCTTGGGCACCCCCCCTCACAGCACACTCCAGTCCCAGGGCCCCCCATCCGTGAGTCAAGGTCATCCGCCTGTGGCACTGAGGCCATCCTTCATCCGGTTGCCAGTGCAGACCTCCACGGGGGGGGGACAGGCTATGTCAGGGATTGTTCTAGATCCTGGAGACCTCCAGGGGAAGGAGACAGGAACCTGCCAACCAATCGAAAACAGAACCCACGTGCATAAACGAGCAGAGCCACCACACAGGGTGGTCCCAGGAGCCCCTGAAGGAGGTGGCCTGCAGTTGGGCCTGCTCCCAGGTGAGGGCAGCCCAGATGTGAGGCCTCCCTGGTAGGGCTCAGTGCAGGTGTCCGGCAGACCCAGGACTGCCAAACAGCTTGTGGCGGGGGCTCCCAGACACGGGCCCATGGGCCCTGGCTTCAGCTTCGGCAGCTTCAAAGCCTTAGCCGGGGGGGCGCCACCGCACGTCCGCAGTCTGGCCATGGGGACACTCAGAGGGAATGGCGCCAGGCCTCCTCGCGCAGAGGGAGGTACAGCCGGGCCTCAGAGAGGCAGCGTGCACTCAGCTCTCCGGCCATGCTGGGAAGTTGCGTGGGGACATCTGTGTGAGCAGCTACTGTGCCTAAACAGGGCTCCGGGAACAGGACACTGGAGTCTTCAGCGTCCCAACCACTCCTGCCCTTCCAGTCCCCTTCTCTACAGGCCTCACACGGCCCCGCTCGCTGACCGAGAAGGGCAGAGCAAGGCATTGGCAGGGAGGGGTCCCAGATGGGCCCCGGACGAGGGCTGGCCTGACGGAACCTGGCCGTGGCCTACGGCACAGAAGGAGCGGGGCGGCGGGGGGCACCCTGCTCCTTGGCCTTAGCCAGCCCGGGGGCCTCGTTTGCCCTTGACTGCCAAGGGCGAAGCCCAGGCCCCCAGGCCAGGCCTGCGCTCACTGGCAAAACAGAGGCCCTCGGGGCCTGGCCTTCTGGGGGCAGCCGAATTGCAGCCATGGGTACAAGCTGTCCTCCTGGGGGCTTCTCCTCTCTCGTTTCACCGGCCGCTGGGGATTAGCTCCGCCACCACGGCTGGCACCCTTGGCCTGGGCCACCTCCACGGAGCACAGAGCCGGGTGAGGCGCCAGGCGAGCGGCAGGTGCGAAGCCCCGGCCCCGCTGCCCCTGCCTGCACCAGGGCTGTCTGGAGGTGGAGCGTGGACCGGGCCCACCTTGTCGCAGCTGTCCCGGCGTCACGTGCAAGACGCAGCAACCGTGCTGGGGCTGGAGGCTGAACGGTTGAACCTGACTGAAAGCCACCTGCGGAGGTGACTGGCAGTGAGTGGAGCTTCCCTGGAAAATGATTTCTGATTGGTTCTGATGCTGGAGCGCAGACACAGATTTTTATGAGCCCAAATTCATGTTTACAAAGACCATTTCAGCCATTCCCGAGAGGCCCCCTCAGGCAAAGCAGCAAGTGCTCCAGGGGCAGGGGTGGGGGGCCCCTCCCTGCAGCCCACTCTCTGCTCTCCCTGGCTTCACCCACAGGGAAGTGAGGGCGCTGTGCGTGATGACCTAGAACCCCCTCCCTGCCCAGGTGCCCGTCCCAGCATTGGGCATGTGTGGCCAGCCGATCCGGGGCCTCTCCCTGCCCAGCACCTTCCACTACCAAGGAGCAAAGGTCTCAGCTCCCGGTGCTCTCAGAGCCAGGGTGGGGACAGGTTCCTTGCTCCTCTGGCCAGTCTGATGCCCCCAGGAGCCCAGCTGGGGCTCCCCATCAGCTTGAGCCGGGGAAACCCTGTTAGCCAGACCCTGGCCTGGGTCCAGCTGGAGTGTGGTCTAAGCCCCACTTAGCTGCTCTGCACCCTCCTCGGACTGGGGGGGGGGGCTGGTTCAGCCATCAGGCCACTGTGCAGATGGGGTAAAGATGGCAAGGATGGACAAGAACGGGGACTGAGGCTGGCAGGCATGACCTGGAAAGCCCTAGAAAGCAGAGTGGCCTTCCGACTTCTAGGTGACCCTGGCAGCGGGTGGCGCGCTGGCTCATGGCGGGGGTTGCCACCTCCTAGGCCAAGCGGCCCTCAGGGTGCCCTGGCCGGGCCTGCTCACCAGGTGAGCGCACCAGGAACGCTGGGCTGCCTCCTCCCCAGAGCCGGGCCTGCAGGTGAGTCCAGGCAGTGGGCTACCCTGGGCCACACCTGCCAGCCGGTGTGTGCCAGGCGGGCCAGCGGGCTGGCAGCCAGGCAGCAGCATTCGTGGGAGTGTGCGGTGCCAGGCAGACAGGCCAGATTGAAACAGTTGCCTGGGAAACGTGGCAGGACCCGTCGGGCAGCAGAGTGCGTGTGTGGGGCCCACTCACCGGCTCGGGAATGAGGGCTCCGCAGCCTCCTCAAGGCATCTCCTCCCCATGGGGATGGGCGTCCATGGCTGAGACCCACCAGTGCTCGGCAGGCTCAAACCCTGGGCTGCCACAGCCTCCAGCCGCACCCCAAAAACCCCAAAGCCAGGAACCAGCTGGGGAGTTGGCACAGGAGAGATGGCGGCCCTGTCTCCACGCCCCCATCCCAGCCACCGCCTCTCTCCTGGACAACCCCCTCTCCCAGCGGTCCTTTAGAAGCTGGCCAAGAGGTCCCCACCTGCCCCACTGTCCACTCCCTTCTCGGCGGCTGCCCTCTGCCCAGTCACACCGGCCCTTCCTCTGTCCTGATCCAAGTCTGCAGCTCAGGCTTCTGCCCTCACCAGTTCGCCTGCAGGTGGTAGCTCCTGCTGGCCCTTGGGCTCTGCTCTGGTGTCCCCTCCACCGAGAAGCCTTCCTGACCCATCCGAAGCTCCTCCGCAGGCCCTCCCTCCACCTGGCGGGTGCTGCTGGGTTGTTCCGCCCCGAGACTGGGAATTGTAGGCTGGGTGTTTTCTGCCTTCCCAGGAGGGTGAGCCGACACTCTGCCCCCAGAGCGTCCCAAGAACCTCAGGGAGTGCCAGCCCAGAGGAACCCAGACTGAACTAGTCAGCCAACCCTGAGGGTGAACCAGGGGTGGAGGGGATGGAAGTCAAGCAGAGACCAAGCTTTGGGGATACTGGGGGTTAAACAGCGTTGAATGAAATTCCGTGTCTGCTGGGAACCTGCGACTGTGACCCAGTTTGGAAGCCAGGTTTTCGTAGATGGAATCTGGTTAAGATGAGGCCATATTGGATTAGGGTGGGCCCGCGATCCGGTCGGACTAATGTCCTCCTAAGAAGAGGGGCGCTTGCACACAGAGCCACGAAAACACAGAGGCAGGGCTGGAGCCGTGCAGCTGGGAGTCCAGAAAGCCGGAAAGGGCAGTAAAGACCCTCCCCAGGGCCTTCCGAGGGAGCAGGGAGCGTGGCCCTGCCCACACCTTCAGTTTGGACTTCTGGCCTCCGGTTTCTGTGGTTTCAGGCGGCCAGTCTCAGATCATTCGTGCAGCAGGCCCAGGACGCTCTCCAAGCCGCCAGCACCAAGTTCGGTCTGGTCATCACGGCGGGGAGGGGAGCAGCTGGGCATCCCGAACCCCCCCACCCCTGGTCCTGCCAACCACCCCGCAAAGCAGAGAGTGTGGCCCAGAGCAGAGCCAGCTCAGCTTCAAACCCATGGCTTTCCTAGGAAGGGCCCAGGATGGGCGACCCTGGGCCGGAGCCCCTCCGGGACAGCCTGGCTTCTCGGCTCCATGGGGGCAGCTCTGCCCATCGGCTGCCTGCTTAGGGCAGATCTCTGGCTGGAGCCTCGACTTCCTGAGATGCCAGGAGGTCCCTGTGCCTTCCAGGCCCCGGACCGGGACCGCAGCCCCCAGGAGCCCCGGCTGTGTCACCCCCATGTCTGTG